TAAATAAATAGGCCTACAGTATTCAAGCAGTTACTAATGTTATTCATACAGAATAAATCATTTGAGAAATGGTCAGATAATCACACAAAAAAGCATTAAAATGAAGAATAAATGGGTTTATGAAGCCAGGACGTCCCAAAGAAGCCCTAAGCAGAGAAACTCTGATTAACCTTATATGTCTTTAAAAGTAAGTAAACTTCAGGATCCTTTCTAAGCCTTCAGGCGAATTGGACATATAGGGTTAGACCTATATGTTAGAAACCAATCGGCACTTGATGTGTGATGCGGTTAGCATATTGCCGGCCGCCTTTACTTGCCAGGTCACCTGGTACCCATTCAAGGACTGGGCGTCCTGTGAAGCAACGCCATTTTTGATACATACAAACCTTGTCTAATTGTCCAAAAATAAATATTATTATCGAAGGAGTGAGTGAACCCCACTAGGACCTCACACAGGGCGGTTAACAGAAGTCGCAGCAAAGATATAAAGAGTCTCTATTCTGATGAGAATACATCAGATACAAATACTAGAAACCATCAGGTTCTATTGTGAGTCCTTGACGATCACAAAGTAATTAAAAGTTAAAAGCCTGACAGGGTGGGAGGGTTTAAACATTAATCTTCCTCTTCTTCGTTGTTCACCGGCTGTAAACTCCGGCGAAAAGTCCTGGTTGTTCGTCCATTAGGACTTTAGCTTTGTGTCTGGGTCTGATTTTTGCTCTTACATCCGTTTTACTGACTTATATGTGTGCAGTTGGTTGTTCCTTGTCGCTGGGGCAGATGCACTCCGACTTCAAAGAAAGTCTCCAATCAGTTGACTTCTACGACATGCTTGTTGGGGAGGCAGTGGGTCTTTCTTTTTTTCTCTACAATGGGGCTCCGAAACCCACACGAGATTTATCAGTAATGATAATAATAATATTAATAATTTTTATTGCATAATTAATCCAACCCCCCCCCCCCCCCCCCGGCTCTTAGAAAATTACTTTGCAGGGGCTGATATGTTTTCTTTGTGGCGGCGCGTCTGACTGCTAGCATCATATAGCTAGCTTGGTGAAATTACGAAGCTTACTATTGACTTTCTGGTATATGTTCATTTTTTGTGTTGAACTGTTAATCTAATATTATTTTTCTTGTGTTCTTTTTTTTTTTTTTTTGTGAATGTTTCAATCACCATTTTCCCGTGTTGGTTCCGGGACCCTGTTATAAGGAAAACAATAATAGACACCCAAAGCATGTCGCAAGAGCCGACTAATTAAGAGCTTTTTTCAAAGTCGGAGCGCATCTGCCTGAGATGCAAGTAATCAACAGTCTGCATGCAGATGAGTCAGATCTGTCAAACGGATCCACACGCGAAACTCAAGTTCTGGAACAGGACTTCAGTCCAGAAGTGGACGAACAACCAGAACTTTCCGCCAGAGTTTATAGTTAGTGAACGCGAAAAAGAAGAAGAAATCACAACTGATTACTGACGTCATGGGAGCTAATAGACTGAAATGGCTGCGGCATACTGAGAAAATGTCAAATGACAGAGAGGTAAAAACTGTATACACAAGGGAGCTGAATAGTCGTAGACCACGAGGCTAAGCAAGAAAATGATGGAGAGATAATGTCCAAACAAACCTGCAAACATTTGGTGTCATCAACTGGAAACGAATGACAATCAGAGAGAATAATTTACGGCAGTGATGTCTGCAGCAGTGGACCTCGAGGGCTCTGAATGCTAAACAAGAAGTATGCGTGCATGTGTACTTGTGTGGGTGTGTGTGTAATTATATGTGCTTGCGTAAATGTGTACGTTTCTGTTTATATATGTGCTTTTGTGTGAGTGAGAGAGTGTGTATGTGTGTGTGTGTGTGTGTGTGTGTGTGTGTGTGTGTGTGTGTAGCTGTTTAAAATATTGTGTGTACCAGTTTGCATACTATTTACTATACTTTCCCCTTACACTTACCCAGAAAAAGAAAATATTTACAAGAGCACCAGAAGGAATCAACCAGACAGGTTGCCACTTCCCGAGATATTTGAGTCCTAACTTATGTGCAGTCGACTTGCTCCAGTCAGAACGGCAAGCAATTAAAACCTCATCGTGTCCCTAAATCGGTTAGTGACAAACCACCCCCGCAACTTCTGCATTAAGTGGTGCTTACGACAGTCCTGAGTCTTCCAACAACACCTTAGTCTCAAAGTGGGGCAATCGGAGGATTCGGAACATATTTCCAGTTTTAGCAGCTTCTGACGGTACAATGAAGGCGCCGGGAGAGCATTAGTGTTCCCAAGGCGAACTGAGGAAAAACGTCTTTCTCAAAATAATAATTATAATGGCCGGTTATCTTGAGATTTCAGCCAGATAAAGAAGTGGTTGAAATCCTACACCCGCCTTACTGTTTGCACAGAAAACAAGTAACCGTTATGAAGACAGCGGGCTGATTGCGGAACTAGTATAAAGTAAAATGTAAAGGACGCTTTCACATGCTTTTAGACGTCTTGGGGATATAGGGTTCGATCCATATTTTATAGACCAATCGGCACTTGGTGGCTGATGTGGTCTGTATCGCGCTGGCCGTCTTCACTTCCCAGGATTTTACCTTGTACCCATTTAAGGCTGGGTCGATCCGGGAGCCAGGATAATTTTTTTTAAAGCTGTTAAAAGCTAGACTGCGGCGGCTTCCTACTACAAGAAGTGAGATTCTGAAATTCAATGGACACCAGTAAAACAGCTCGATGACCTGGCATTTTCTATCCCTTTCCAAAAATCAGAGGAAATATAGATTAACATTACATGACGACAGGTCAAGACATTTAGATTTAAAAAATCATTAATAGAAAGACAAAGACAATGAGAATAAACCAGGCCATTAGTCATATAATCTCTTTTAGTGATGTCTCACTGTATGTTATGGATGGAGTCACATACATGTTTGAGCAGTAGATGAAGATGGATGAACTGACAGAGATCGTAAAATGCGAATATAAAAAGCAAGAGGAGTATTATAGCATTAGAACATTCGTGAAAGGCAAAGCTTAAAAAAAAATTTAAAAAAAGTGAACATTTTCAAACTCGAATGTCAAATAGACACTGCTGTACTGAAGGAAAGTAAGAAGAACAACTTAAACAATTACTAATAAATTACAAACATTAATGTGTGCCTGCGCCGAATGGAGGAAACTCAATAATTTGACAGAATCACCAATGTTGGGCCTTGGGGGAAAACTAATCAAATACAAGTAAATCAAGAAATGGGGAAAAGACGCTGACGTTGGATAGGACACACGTTGCGAAAACCTTAAAACAGTATAAGTAAAAGGGCTTTGCACTGGACCAGCAGGGGCTTAGAGATAAGGGCCCACCAAAAACACGCAAACAATGGAACAGTGAGTAACGTTTCAAAGATGGGAAAGATTTGGGTGAGCTGCATACAATCGCAAAAGAAAGGTCGAATTAGCATGAGTTGGTTGAGGGCCTGTTATGGTTGGTAGAAGGTGAGATAATTCTGGGGTTCCAGCTGGGGTAGCAACCGTTATGGTTGGTAGAAGGTAGGATTGTTCAATAGCCAGGTGTTCCAGCTGGGCTAGCAACCGTTATGGTTGGTAGAAGGTAGGATAGTTCAATAGCCAGGTGTTCCAGCCGGGCTAGCAACCGTTATGGTTGGTAGAAGGTAAGATAGTTCAAATGCCAGGGATTCCAGCCGGGATAGCAACTGTTACGGTTGGTAGAAGGTAAGATAGTTCAATAGCCAGGGGTTCCAGTCGGGGTAGCAACCGTTACGGTTGGTAAAAGGTAAGATAGTTCAATAGCCATAAATATGGCCAATTGGCTGAACGCGGTTTCTGGGACCTCTCCACGGTGATCCTCATCCACATGGTGGTACATTGTGTCATCGGATGTTTATCGCTTGTGTGATGTCCTGGTGGAGTAGAAAGTCAGTCAATCAGCCACTGAACATAAAATTGACCTAGAAAAAACACGACAGACAAAAAATTATGGGGTTTGTTCTGCAACGTCCTGTAAAGGATACGCAACTAACTTTTTTTTTTTTTAATATGAATTAAGAAGAGGGAAAGCAACCGTTAAGCGAATACCAACAAGTTAACTCCCACACTACACTCAAAATATTTGCGAACTTGAGAGTGAGTACCTACAGGGGATGACCAAGTTCTAGCGTCGGAGTATTTGCTCATGGTCAGTGTCAGGACACAGAAACAAGCTGCAACCAATGCTGGTCACGGCCATGCATATTTAAAGGCCATATTAACGCGCGTGTCCCCGGGTGTTGCAAGACATCGCGGAGATCGGGTTTGGTTTATTGGCTCTGCCAACAATGGTTGGAATGATATCCTTCTGTGATGACCTCATGCTACTAACAAGGACGTCTTTGTGGGTTGTGGTGGAGCTGTAGAAATTATACTATTAAACATGATGTGTGAATGTCGTTTACACTTTCCGCTTGTTGCGGAGGGGAATGTGTTATTTTTGCGTATGTATTTTTTTTTTTTTTTTTTTGGGAGAACACACATCTATCTACATTGTCTACCGATATCTCTTAAGTTACTATTATCGTCATCCTCATCATTGTACTTTAATGTCATTTTATGTCATAAAGGGCTGTTTCTCTATTTCTCCAGGCGTTCTTTGTTTACCAGAAGGCATCCTTGCCTTAAGTTTCTGTAGTAAAAGAACTTTTACAGGCTGGAAGAGCTGGCCCCTCGCCAAACCCTCCTGCTTACTCATCCCGGCTTGGGGCCAGCAATGGGAGAGATAGTTACTACCATATTATATATGTTAAACCATCAACACTCCCAAGATGGGAGCCGCTCTGATTTAGCGGCTAGACCCCCTCCTGCAGATCCGAAGGTAGTGGGTTCTGGTCCTGATGGTGTCAGACTTTCTTCAAATGTGATCTTGGCTCCTCGGTCGAACCAGCCGATCGGTGCCCAAAAGATTGGCTAGGTAGTACCATCTAGGGTGACTTTGTGCAAACAAGGACGTTCTGCGAGTTAGAATGGAGCTCAAGATGTTTAGATGTATTCTAGTGGCGCTAACACTAGCAACTGTTGGGGCGGGGCACGGTAGCATTTTTCGCGTGTGCATTCCTTGAGAAAACACATATATCTATAATATCTGTCAATCCTTTTTTTTAACCAGCATATTATTAATAAAATCATCTACGCGTCTAAGATGCTAATCTTAATATAATGCTATAATCCTCGTAGAGCAGGTCCATTGGAGAGGGTCACTCTCGTCACGGCACACTGGAACGTTAAGCTCTAATCCTTGACAGTTGGCCATGCGCGCATGAACCCGGTCATTGTAAGACAGCGCAGAGATCACAGATTAGACACGTTACTTCTTCCAGCTGGGATGGCTGGGAGGGTTGGGATGGCTGGGAGGGTTGGGATGGCTGGGAGGGCAGGGATGGCTGGGAGGGCTGGGATGGCTGGGATGGCTGGGATGGCTGGGAGGGTTGGAATGGCGGGGAGGGTTGGGAGGGCTGGGATGGCTGGGATGACTGGGAGGGCTGAGAGGGTTGGGATGGCTGGGAGGGTTGGGATGGCTGGGATGGCTGGGATAGCTGGAATGGCTGGGATGGCTGGGAGGGTTGGGATGGCTGGGAGGGTTGGGATGGCTGGGAGGGTTGGGATGGCTGGGAGGGCTGGGATGACACTCTCTTCTGTAACCATAAGGTGTTGAATTATAACTCGCATTCGGTGGCGGGAAAAAGTGGGGTGGGGTGGGGCATGCTTCCCGTGTCGTCTCCCCCTAAACATGTAAAGATGTTCTCTTCTTATTTGTTTATACATTTCATATTATTTACAGTATGTTATTATATTTATTTGCCATTCACACCCCCCCCCCTCCCCCACACTTTTTTCCCAACCATCTACCGGTTCATCTATAAAATATTTATGTCTAGCATCATATACCAGGCGCGTCACTGGAGTACAAAATTGTCCTTCACTTTAGACTACAGGAGCCGCTGTGGTGTAGCGGCTAGACACTCGCCTGCGGATCGGAAGGTTGTGGGTTCAGGTCCTGACTTCCCCCTTCCCCTCCCTCTCCTAAAATGCCCTTTGCTCTCAGGTCGACCTAATCTCAAATGGGTACTTGGTAAAGTCATAGGAAACGAAGGCGGTTGGCATAACACAGTATCCACCAAGTGCCGACTGGTCTATAAAAGATAGGTCTAGCCCTATATGCCCAATAGATCTGAAGGCACGGAACATGTCTATTTTCTTTAGACTGCACACACAAAAATAGCAGCCCCTACATTGTTCAGAGAAGCTTTCATATAATTAGCATAGTGTACGGGTTGTTTCCTGAAGTAATTTGATCTTGCAAACTTGTCATGGCAAATTGAAGTACCTCTAATTGTGTATCTTTAATCCGATGTGCACTCATTAAATAGATATTGCCGATGCAAACAATGCAATTAAACAAACACTACTTGATTAATTATACGGACGCATCTATTCTGGTTATTAGTTAATGCATTTTCTTGTACAGTGGTTCCCAAACGCTGCTACAGGTGCACATACAAGGGACTCAGTGGTTGCTTCTAGAAAAAAAAATAACCCAAACGCTGCTACGGGTGCACATACAAAGGACTCAGTTGTTGCTTCAGGAAAAAAATAACTACGTAAAGCTGAAGATAAGAAACCAGATGTTGAATCAAACTAAAACTAAAATTACACTTTGAACGGAAATTAGCCATGCTGAATTTGTGTGCTTTCTCTAGCAGACTACGCATACTGCTGCCACTAGCTTCAACATTATTAGTTGGCCTCTATATTATTTGCTCAAAATGTTGACTGACAGTTCACTTTTCCCTCAAAACTGCTGCTTAATTTCGACAGGAACTTCTGAACCCACCCCACCCCTCCCCCACCTCCTTTTCCACTCCACGAGAAAGTGCAACTAAATTGTTTTCATTCACAGAAACAGCAACACTTGCTCAAACAAATAACGTAAACAGTTCTGGAAGTTTTCTACTTTAGCAAAGTTTCTTGATGACTTTTTACAGGTTACTACGGTTCTCAGTGTGAGCAAAGCAAAACAACACAACAATAACAACAACAACAACAACAACAACAACAACAACAACAACAACAACAACAACAACTTAATTAAACAAAATGGCATACGAGATCTTTATGCTGTTGACGCTCACAGCAAGCTAAAAATCTAGTTTTAAATCCAAACTTAACTGAAGTTTTGACTGCATTTAAAAAGATGAATTCAGAATTTTGTCTGAGAAAGCAAAATTATTATTGCTGCCTTTCTATATGCGTGGTTTCGAGGCATGATGTCCGCCTCGAGTGCTAGAGATTCCGGGTTTAATCCACGGTAAGGGCTGGGATCTTTTCACGTGAACTTGGACTTCTAGTAATTACCCTGGTCTCTGGGTAGTGAGATCGGGCGCCCGTGTGCATTGTTGCGCACGTAAAAAATCTGTTGGCAATTGGAAATCGAAAAGAGTAGCCAAGGGGCGCTGCCCGGGAAAAATCTAGAGTTAAAAATCTAGCCAAAGTATTTCAGCATTCTCGCCGGTGCTACAGAGCCTGTCCACTGTGCTGAGCTTGTTTGGACTCAGATTTAAGTTAGAAGAAGAACTTGGCCCTTATGGGTTACTATACGTGTGCCATAATGTTGATCCGTTGTTCAAAACCTTTACAACTTAAAACTTCAGCTCAATTACGCGGGATTCTCCACATATACAACAGTCACAACTAATTACAGAATATGCGTCATGCACAACCAAACAATGACTTGCAACGATCGTCAGCCGAAGCTGAAATAAGAAAACGACTAATGCACACACATACACACACATACACACACACACACACACACACACACACACACACACACACACGTACACATACACAAATGAAACTACGTCTGTCTCATTAAAGGTTTGTGAGTTATTTTATGGACCTTTTGCTGCTCTCACCAATAATATAAAATCGATTGCAACGCAACTGATGCGATTTGTTAAACTGTGGATGACCTTTCATGTAATGCAAGTTTTGACAACATCATTTGAATCGGTGGTCATTAGGAATAAATTAACCAATAAAGCAAATTTCAAAATTTTAAAACTATAATTTCATTGCATGGACATTGCACAATCGTTTTGATATATATCTCTTTGCTTAACATTCCTTTACTGACAATGCCGTCCCCGTGTCGGAAGCAATTTTTCGTTATTTCGAAACCCCACCATGGCTATTGCCAGAGGACCTAATATAACCCAACCTATGTGTCAAACGAGGTTTCTGCGACCTGTCCCCGGGTGATCCTCATTCGAATGGTGGCACTTTGTGTCACCGGGTGTTTATATTTTAGTGTGGCGTCCTGATGAGATTGAAAATCAATTAGTCACATTCCTTTGCTGTCTTCGCCTTCTGTCTCCTAGCATTACATCTAAACAACATTACCTTCTAAGACATAGAGAGTGTGGTAAGCCTAACTGGGTTTAACATAGAAATGGATTCTTAAAAGGGATTCGCAGGTCAAAACATTTAGGAATCACTGCTCTGATGAATGGTATGTGTGTGTGTGTGTGTGTGTGTGTGTGTGTGTGTGTGCGTTTGTGTGTGCGTGCGTGCGTTGTGCGTGTGTGTGTGCATCGCCTTCAATGACATTAGTTAATAAGCACGTATGGTTGTCATGTTTAGCTGCAAACCCCACATCATTGTCTAGACCCAGTGGTAGCAATGAGAAATTAGGGGATATCAGATTTCCCTATAACTTCTGGTGGACGCTTGCAGGCCCATGGTTACTGTGTGCATTCGGATGTCTATTTGTACGTCTGCTTGCTTAGTCAAAAATTCTGTAGACTCTCATTGTATTGCTGAATGCCGTCTCAGCACTCTCAAGTCTGTCTTCGTATTCGCCTGTCTGCATTCTGCTGTGCCTGCCCTGAGTTTGCCGGGCTATTTACAGCTCTGTCATATTAATTATAATGTCTGCCTACCGAGCTACCGCTCTGTTGTATGCCAGTCTTCTTGTAGTGAGCACTGCTCGCCCCACTTAATTGCTGGTTCACCAGCCTTCTTGTAGTGAGCACCGCTCGCCCCAGTTCATTGCTGGTTTACCAGTCTTCTTGTAGTGAGCATTGCTCGCCCCAGTTCATTGCTGGTTTACCAGTCATCTTGTAGTGAGCACTGCTCGCCCCAGTTCATTGCCGGTACACCAGTCTTCTTGTAGTGAGCACTGCTCGCCCCAGTTCATTGCTGGTACACCAGTCTTCTTGTAGTGAGCACTGCTCGCCCCAGTTCATTGCTGGTACACCAGTCTTCTTGTAGAGAACACTGCTCGCCCCAGTTCATTGCTGATTCACCAGCCTTCTTGTAGTGAGCACTGCTCGCCCTAATTCATTGCTGGTACACCAGTCTTCTTGTAGTGAGCACTGCTCGCCCCAATTCATTGCCGGTACACCAGTCTTCTTGTAGTGAGCACTGCTCGCCCTAGTTCATTGCCGGTACACCAGCTTTCTTGTTGTGAGCACTGCTCGCCCCAATTCATTGCCGATACACCCGTCTTCTTGTAGTGAGCACTGCTCGCCCCAGTTCATTGCTGGTTCTCCAGTCTTCTTGTAGGGATCATTGATGACGCGTGTGTGAGGGCGTGCATGCGTGCGTGTGTGCGAGTGTGTGTGTGTGGAAGGGGGGGGGGGTTGTGGGTGTGTGTGTGTGTGTCTGTGTGTGCGTGTTTCTGTGTGTCTGTATGTCTGTCTGTATGTATGTATGTATGTATGTATGTATGTATGTATGTATGTATGTCTGTCTGTCTGTATGTATGTATGTATGTATGTATGTATGTATGTATGTATGTATGTATGTATGTATGTATGTATGTATGTATGTATGTATGTCTGTCTGTCTGTCTGTCTGTCTGTCTGTCTGTATGTATGTATGTATGTATGTATGTATGTATGTATGTATGTATGTATGTATGTATGTATGTATGTATGTATGTATGTATGTATGTATGTATGTATGTATGTATGTATGTATGTATGTATGTATGTATGTATGTATGTATGTGTATGTATGTATGTATGTATGTATGTATGTATGTATGTATGTATGTATGTATGTATGTATTTATGTATGTATGTATGTATGTATGTATGTATGTATGTATGTATGTATGTATGTATGTATGTATGTATGTATGTATGTTATGTATGTATGTATGTATGTATGTATGTATGTATGTATGTATGTATGTATGTATGTATGTATGTATGTATGTATGTATGTATGTATGTATGTATGTATGTATGTATGTATGTATGTATGTATGTATGTATGTATGTATGTATGTAGTATGTATGTTATGTATGTATGTATGTATGTATGTATGTATGTATGTATGTATGTATGGTATGTATGTATGTATGTATGTATGTATGTATGTATGTATGTATGTATGTATGTATGTATGTATGTATGTATGTATGTATGTATGTATGTATGTATGTATGTATGTATGTATGTATGTATGTATGTATGTA